CCCGTCATTTAACACTTGATTCCATTTAGAGTTGAAATGTATTTACCTGTCTGCAAAGTTATATAGCAGTGTTGTCAGTTGCAAAATTAATTTTTTATGGAGATTTCTGTCTTCTGGGTTGTTGTGCTGTGTAGTCTGGTCGATGTTAACCAATGTTTCAGAGGTCATACTGCCTCCATCATCAGGGCGATGAATAAGTAGTGTGCATGGAATCAGAGATGGAGGCAGTATGACCTCTGAAACGTTGGTAAACATCTACCAGACTACACAGCGCAACAACCCAGAAGACAGAAATCTTCAGACTCACCGCTGTGAAAATCTCAAATCTTACAATTTTTTATGACTTCAAGTGCCATAGGTGTCAAAGAACTGATGTTTGAAAACAGTATTGTAATTTGTGTAATGTTAATGACAGTGCAAGATCCAAGAAAAATCTGATGCCTGTGGTGGACTGAATGATAAAAAAGGTTTGTGAGTCCATTCAGCTAACTTTTGGTGTGGTGTTTCAGAACAGACAGACTCCCAACTCTCTTCTTGCTCGCTTGCTGTAAGGCATGAACATAGAAGCAAACAAAGTACAAATGGAAATATTTGCTTGTTTTACATTTATTGTAGCCATACAAGTAAATAAACTTTTGAGTGCTTTTTTGATGTTCTTTTAATAGTTCACAAAGGAAGCACAAATGATGCTGAGTCATACCAGAAAGATACTGTTTCTGAAGACTGCGATGATGGGGACCAATTTATGGACGATGTTTCCTTCCGTGTTGCTGCAGAATCAAAGCTTTGTGCTCTAGTGTTAACCCCTACAAGGGAACTGGCGTTGCAGGTGCACAAGCACCTCACAGTTGCTGCTGCGTATACTAGCATTAAGGTCAGTTATACACAGAGTACCAACATCTGAAGGTCGGAAAATGTACTACATGCATGTATAATATTCCAGCGGTCGTCTTTTATGTAATAGCATAGTCATATATCAACCTCACGTCTTCATTTACACATTGTCTGCACGTAATTTGTGGTTTTCACAGTTTATTGAGACCAAAAAAACAGCTGGATTAACTCCAGACTCAGCTGTTGGTGTATTTTTTCCAGATAGCTGTTGTGGTGGGAGGTATGGCATCACAAAAGCAGGAACGCTTGCTAAGTCGCAGACCACAAATTGTAGTTGCCACTCCTGGACGGCTTTGGGAGCTCATACAAGATGGTAATCCTCACCTGTCCCAAGTTGGTAGTATCAAGTGAGTTAAGACACGAAACTATTACATTTACTAAAATGTTGTGTGGGCTTCTGGAAGTATTTTACATTATGTATGTATTATATTTACATGAATATAAGCTGCCAGTGTTAAAAACTTGCACCTGACTTTTAAGAAGTAAAAAGTAAATGGAATCTCAGCTTAAGCTTTTTCAAATTTTTCATGACAATCAGTCACACCACATGTACAGAGTCTTCTGGTCTCACAAAAATTCTGTTCCAATTAGATAAATTGTATGATATTGGCAGGTGATGACCATTAAAAAGAGAGAAAACAAACAAAAATAAAGACAGCATGCATCAGTGTCTGCCATTACTCATCAGAATTGAGTTGGTTTATGTACAAACAGCTGAACTACTGCTGTTGTTTGATAGGCTCGGGATAATATATCTCGAATGCAGTGTACACTCTCTCCCCTCTCTACCCCACTGCTAAAGTGATGATGCAGTCATCTGCACAGATTTCATGCAGAGCAATCACATAGTGTCTCTGCAAGTGGTGACTGTTGGAATGGGGGGGGGAGGGGGGGGCAGAAACTGATAGAAAGACAGAAAGTATTGGTCTGTGTAAGACGCCACTGTTTTGCTGCTCATGTTCATCAGGCAGAATGCACACCTTTGTGTATGTCTCTCACTTAAGTAATGCAGGTTTCTCACGCAGATTATTTCATCTGCCTTCTCTAAGTGGCTTCTGCTAAGCCATTTAATAGTTTTTATCCATTACGTTAACTTGCTGCACTGCGAAAACATTGAGACTTATGTGACCTTCCAAACAAAGTAATTTATCTCTCATAATTACATACAGCTTCAGCCATTCTTCTGCAAAACAAATTTTATATATTTCCTATTGCAATATTTGCAATTTTTCTTTGTGTTGGAAACCGAAATACAAAATTTTCTACTCAACTGTGATTCAGGCCGATTATCTCTCCTTTAAAATAATAATCCAGCTATAAGCTACACCCTAGTTTAAGGGGTGCAGATTAGAAGAATGTGTGGCTTATATTTATGCAAATGTGTTTTTCAGGCTTATGTTCCTGTGTGTCTGATTTCATAGATCTCGGCAGGATGCATGGAAATATGACAATCACTATAAAATGTTACGGTTTTGTATGTATGTTTGATATTTGCATTTTTGTTTGTTTTATTTCAGGTATCTTGCTATTGATGAAACGGATCGTATGCTGGAGAAAGGTCACTTTCAGGAATTGCATAACTTGCTGGAGATTCTGAACGCAGATGAAAACAAGAAGAGACTACGGCAGAATTTTGTATTTTCAGCTACCCTGACTATGGTGCATGAACCTCCTAGGCGTGTAAACAGACAGAATAAACAGCTCAGACTCACCCCTGGGCAGAAGCTTCAGAACATCATGACAATGCTTGGCATTACAAACCCAAAAGTAGTGGATGTAACAAAGGAATCTGGTGAGCTTGCATTTCATGTGTTTTCAAAATATTTTCCCTATATTTTGTTTGTGGTATAGTCCATGATGTAATATGTACAGGTTGTTTCTGAAATACATAACACCATGTTGGGACATATTCTGCGCACAAAAATTATGAAAAATGTGGGTCCTTGGATACTTTGTCTTTGAGTAATGGTCCATTTTATTGTGGAAGGAGAAAGAAAGTAAAGTATAAATCCATCCTCAGGAAACTTTATTTACAAACTGCTGACTACAAACTTAGAGATTATTTTTTTAATGACAACAAATTGCAAAAATTGCTTAGTGTGTACAAACAGCATTTTATGCATCTCATTAAGGAACTCAAAAGTCGAGTTGATTTACCTCACGTCCATTTCTACCCTCTGTTGTAGTTCAGCTACATCCATCATTAACTTCAATATCATACACAGTATTGTAAGGTGGCTCCTTAAGTAAACATTCAACAGGTTGGGTCAGCTTTTCTGAAGCAGTTGCTAATCACTTTTCTAATTAAGTCACAAGAAACTACACAGAAATCTGTAGTATCTAAAACTGACAGTCTGAATGAACTTGTTGAGGTTGGTGCTGTGGCATCCTTCCAACAAATCGCTTCCACAACTGGTGCTTCAAAACCTGGATCACAACTTGGTCCATTAGCTGCATAGCTGAGGTCACATTTGGCAGTAAAAACTCCTGCAAACCTTAGACAAGCAATTATCAATAAACAACAGTATATTCCTATACTTAGCTGCCATTTTGGCATTCATTGTCTGTGGAACTCCTCAAAGAGAGTGCAAGTCGTCCATGCCATTTTGTCATGCCTGTATTTGCATGGAAATGGCTTCTCAGATGTACCAGTGACTAGTAGGGGGAGTTTCTCTCTACCATCCTTATTGGCTGCCACTAATGTAGCTGTTGCTTCTCCTTAATTTTTCCTCTTGGCACTTTTCTTCCCTGAAGGGGGTAAAAGATTATAGAATAACTCAGATTTGTCAGTGTTGAAGACTTCACATGGCCTGCACTCTTCAAGTAGATGAGGCAAATTATTTGTTTTTCATACTTCAGCATCTGTTAGATTCACACTTGGAATTTCCCACTGATTGGCTGTGCCAATCTCCACATGCGTACAGTGCACCAATAACAGTAATATCTGCTGCTAAGAGGGTTAAGAAGCAATGACATTATGTCTTCATTATTTGTGTTAGAATGCCCAGACTACCTGAAGTTTCATGCTTTTCATTCCATGTCAGAAGTGCATTATTCTTAAAGTATTCCCATTTCATATGATGCTGAATGGTTGAACCTAAATTAGTCCTCTTCATGTCCCATGATTTTTAGATAGGGGAGAGTTCAAGCTTTTCTCCTCTTCCACAGGGACAGCTGGGACCTTGACAGAAGCTCGCATTATTTGTGCCTTTGAGGAGAAGGACTTTTATCTATATTATTTCATCCAGCGTCACCAAGGACGAACACTCATTTTCTGCAATAGTATCAGCTGTGTGCGCCGCTTGGCACAGCTTCTCACCCTTCTGCGATGTCGACCATTACCTCTTCATGCCAACATGATGCAGCGACAGAGACTGAAGAACCTGGATCGTTTCCGAGAGGATCCCCACGGCTTGCTGCTCGCAACAGACGTGGCTGCACGTGGACTGGATGTCCCTGGTGTGCAGCACGTCATCCATTACCAGGTTCCGCGTACTTCAGAGGTGAAATGATGAGGCAGCACATCATAGGATAACAAAGAATTTTATTGCTTTTGTTTCAAAATACTGTATACTTTACCATCATCTCATTCAGCGGTGTTGGAAAGGCAATATAAAACCAAATGTAAACCAAAAGAAGATACAGGTGTAGTAATTTGTGTTCTTGGATCCATAGCTTGGAATAAAAAAGAATGTGTTTAAAGAAGACAGATTAGAAAAACACAACAAACCTATTTTCAGTTGAGGTGGGCTGTCCCAAGCAGTGCTTTCCGTTCATCTCGTGCTTAACCAACCACTCATTTCTGCTGTCTTCATGCTTTATTTTCATCTCTTTCCCATGTATTCTGAGCCTTGTATTATTATTATTATTATTAAGTGTTCTGTCTTACGACAGGTCCATTGCTCTGCCCAAAAAGAGCTCTCCAGTTGTCCCTATTCTCGGCTTCTCGCTTTAATTCCTGGAACGTCATCTTCTTTCCTTGTTTAAGGTCGTCGGTTAGCTGTATCAATCTTCTTCCCAGTCCTCGCTTTCCTGCAACCTGGCCTTCGATGATATCACTCAGTAACCCATTCCTTCTCATAATATGTCCCAGCCAGTTAGCTTTCCTTCGTGTAATCGCCTGCAGAATGTTTCTTTGCTCGTTGACTCTCCTCAATACTTCTTCGTTGGTCAATTACTTAAATTAAATTAACTCCGTGGCGTAACAGCTCCAGGGAGCCAAAACCAACTAGCTTGACTGCTGGCCTCACGTTCACATGCCTAAGCAGAGGTGAACGATCATCCAACCAGATATAGGGTGACGTGTGGTCAGCACGACGAACCCCCAGCCATTGCTAGTTTTACTGACCGGATTACACTACTCACCCTAAAATGGAATTCAAAACATAATTTGAACAAAGATTTCATGTACCATAATTATATAATATGGTATAAAACACAAGTTAATATTATATTTAGCTTTATTATCACTCTTCCTCCAATTTTGAAGTCTCCTGTTCCCTCCAGAGCTTCCTTGGCAAGCCATTCCCCGTACAGGTTAAAAAGAATTGGTGATAAGCAGCATCCTTGTCTTACACCTCTACCTATCTCAATGCTGTTGGTGTCTCCTGAGTCCAGTCTCACTTTGACTTTTTGCTGCATGTACAGCCTTGTATACTGTTCTGTATTTTGTCACTTGATGTCTACACCCAGTTCTTCGTATGTAAAACTGGGCATGAAATGTGTTCTATGTTTCATAATTTTGACCTCTTTCTTATATTTTCCAGTCCTCAGTCTTATTTTTAACACTTAAAATTTCCTTGCTTTACTGGTTTTTGCATGTAATTTTCTCTAGATTTTTCTACATCATAATTCAAAGCATTGGTATTCTTGGTTGGTAGTCTTTTTAACTTTACTTAATACCTTCTAGCCCAGGAAATATAATGATTACAATACATACTTCTGGACAGATAGTGAAGGTCAAACTATATTTTCTGTCACAGGAGTGTTTCCAGCCATTCTGATATATTACTGTAATTATTATATTTTTCATTATTATGTTATGAATCATGTGTATGAATCAGGCGCGCGGTCTGAAGCATCATGCTTCGGACCGGTGATACGGAATGCACGTTGGTTTGAGTCTTGGGGAAAGATTTCTCATGAGATTTTTGACCGGTGTATGGGACCGGTGCCAACCCAGCATCGTGATTAAATTGGGGAGCTACAATGGGTAGCGTAATCCGGTCATGAAAACTAGCAATGGCTGGGGGTTCATCGTGCTGACCACACGTCACCCTATATCTGGTTGGATGATTGTTCACCTCTGCTTAGGCATCTGAACATGAGGCCAGCAGCCAGCTAGTCAGCTTTGGCTCTCTGGAGTTGTTACGCCACGGATTATTATTATTATTATGTTATGAATCATGTTTGCATTCAGTCTCTGCAGATTGCAACACTTTCCTTCTGTCTACACAAATCATTCTTCCAAAGATTTAGTGTGTGATTAATATAAGTTATTTTGGTATTTGACGTGCAGTAATTCCAGGCTGTTTTTTTCAGAGCTACGTTCATCGCAGTGGACGCACAGCTCGTGCACAGAAAGAAGGCCTTACGCTGTTGCTTGTAGAACCAGCAGAGGTTTCCTACTACACACGTCTGTGTAGAACACTTGGCAGAAGTGAGTGTTGCTTTACACATCAGAAATCTTATTTTGTGACAATTAATTCTACTTATTTTTCTAGAAGTGCCTCCACCATCACAGCTAGCCCAGTGCCTTGGTTTTGGGTTTGTCTCCTCTTATTTATTTCTTAATCCTGTGTATAAGCTTGGTCTACAGTCTGCATGCATCATTCTTAGCCCATGCCACATTTTTATGATTAATGTTTCATCTAACTAAAATTTTGACTGTAATTAACTTTCTCTTGATTTTTTATGCTTCAGGAAATTTTACTACCCAAATAATAGAACTTTCACTTTTCTTCAAATGCTATTCAGTGCCAATTCTTGCATGTCTTGTGTACACCAGTTCTCATGATAACACATTTAACACGTGATTGTTGAATTTAACTTTTCTAAACTTTTATGCCATTTACTTATTTGATTTATTTTTGGATCATTCTTCTTTTCCTCCCATAGCAGGACATTGTATGCTGTATTAAGGCTGTTGGTTCTGTCCTTTCCTGCTGCAGTTAAATGTGAATGTCAGTTCAGTTCATCATATGACATCACCTCCTTTAACTGTTTACTGTTCCTGAATTATGTCAAGAGCTTGCATTTACTTCACGCAGGAAAGGACTTGCCAGTGTTCCCTGTGGAAAGTGATTTATTGGCAATAGTGAAGCAACAAGTGATTCTGGCAAGGGAGCTGGATCAACTAGAACTGGCTGCTCGGAGATGCAACTACGAGGCTGGGTGGTTCTCTAAAGCTCTGACAGAAATGGATATGCTGATGGATGATGAAGACCTGTATCCTTAACAGCAACATGTTCGGTCTTGATATTATTAACGTTATGCAATGAATATGTAGGTATTTAAAAATGTGAAGTATACTTTCCCTTGCTTTGATACTCAGTTTGCTTGTGACGTGTGATGTCTCTTAAGATTAACTTTTCACTTGCAGAAATAATTGTTTGGCACAGCAAGCATACCCACTTGTCTTTCACAGTCATAAAATTATACTTGCTTTCCTGCTTCAGAAGAAAATTTTACATTTTTGAGACACAAATAAGAGGTTTCAAATGTTACTAAATAGCAAACACTGCATAAGATGCAAACAAGTCACAAATCAAATCACTTTCATAAAATCCTACAGAATGTGGGAACTAAAACATAACATGAAGGAAGAAAGCGTTAAACTTGGCTGCTGTCCTTGACGTTCATCAGGAACAACGTGCTGTTATCGAGTTCGCAGCACACTTAGCCACTGGGCACAAAGAACAACAGGCAAAGGTGGACATGGAAACATTTGCGATTTGCCGCGCAGCGGCAGGCCACTGTCAGTGCGGACGGAAGCCAGTGTTGAGAAGGTGAACAACATGATCATGGCAGACAGACGCATAACTGTGAAACAATTATCACTCCAACTGGACATTACAGATGCCAGTTTGTGTGCAGAATATTGGAACATTGGGTTTTTCAAAGGTCTGACAATGCCCGACCACACGTCAATCTGAGAACCACGGAGGTGATCTCAAAATTGAGGTGGACAGTCTTGCCACACCCACCATACAGTCCTGATTTGGCACCGTCAGATTATCACCTGTTCGGTAAACTGAAAGACAGCATTTGTGGGACAGTTTGTGGACGATGACTCCCTTGTGGCATCTGTGAAAAAGTGGCTCAAAAGCGCTGATCCTGAGTCTTATCGTGCGGGCATACATGCCCTTGCTCTGAGGTGGCTTAAGGCAGTCGAGAGAGATGGAGACTACATTGAAAAGTAGCATTTTGTTCCTAGAGGCTGTACCTATCCACCGTGAATAGCAAAGTTGTAAAATAAAAATTGAATTTTTTTAAAAAATACCCTTGTAGAAATAGGCATAGATTTCATGAAGCTCCAGGATTCAGAAGTTGTAGACTCCTGGTGTTTGCTAAAGATTAAGTTCTTTTAAAACCAGCACCAGTGCAGCATTTCAGAATGCTTTGTGGTTGTTCTTCATTTTTAAATTATTGCACTGCAGGTGTCAGATGCAAATTCAGTTCCCAAGTAGGCCTTTTGTCACCAGATCTAATGGCTGTGAAGGCCACGAGTGTCTTTTTTTTAAGTCCTTACATTTATTTTCTTTCTTCCTTTATTCACATTCATGAATGAGAGGAAGAAGAGTGCAGTTGATTTCCCAATGTATTATGACCAAAATGAAATTATTACAGTGTAACATCATTTCATACACTTACACAGAGGTGGTTGTAAGTTTGATTTATTCTTCCATGGTGACAGAGTCCCCTCACAAAGTTTGTGTGTGTGAGATTAGAAAATCCCACTCTGGGAACAAAATTCAGGTCACCCTTACTGTAAGCACACGTGCTATCAAATTAGCTGTGATGGTGAACTGAAGGAACGATCAGTTTACTAGGCTGTCAAAGTATCAGTGAAGAATAAAATTGTGAATTACAAACAAACCCTGGAGTGCCTGCACTTAATATTAAGCCAAGAAGTAAGAGGAGGATCCACTACCATGCAGCAAAATGAGCTGAATCAGGATGGGGGGGACAGTCAACCAGGTTTTGTTGTAAGATTTCTTGCTCTTGCACCTGTCAGTGGCTGTATGAATTATATTGTGTTTGTTGTTGAACCTTCATTCATCAGTTTAAATTACTGTACTGTACCAACGGAAATAACCTTGAAATGAAATAACTGCATGTTGGTATCCAAGCTGCGGCAATGTTAATTTGTTTTGTTAGGTGGCAGTCTGACACTTCTGTCATAAATCTTTGTTATGCTGTAAGGTTGAGAGGTGATCACATAATTAGAGAGAAGTGAATGAAATAGAAAGCAGTGATAACGCTGATCACGTGAGTGAATTATGTTTTCTTATTTGCCAAGCGACAATGAATTTTCCCAAAATTGATTTGGACATGACTATAGTGTAAAAAATAAATACATAAGAAAGGAATTTGTCTGGAAAGGGAGAGAAGTGTTTGAAGATGTTGGAAATGGCAATAATTATGTATAATTCTGGCATCCCGAGTATGTACTCCTTAACAGAAATATTGCAGACCGAAGCAAATTGATGACAGTGAAAGCAGCAAACTGAGGAGACTTGCTACTGCGAAGCGCAAACAGCTTACAGCCCTACTGCATGTGCATAGGCAACACTGTGATGTGGACAATGCTGTGACAGTGCTGCAGTCTGCTGGTAACACCAGGGTCAGGCCTCAGAAAGACAAAACTGGGTTTATGAAGAGGAAACGTAATAATAAGAATAAAGGTAATGGACAATTTAACTAACGGCGCTGTCTAGATTTCTCTTCATCATACTTCCTAGTTCCCTCTTCTTCTCCAGTCATTTTGAACTCTGGCGTCTCACTGTTTTAGGTTTGAGGCATGATGTTGCTGTAATGACTTGTAAGCTTCATATTAATTTGTAGTGCATTCTACATTTGTATTATAAATATATTAATTTGTACAGTGGCCTGTAATCAGCTCCACCATGCCTTACCTTTGTCTGGAATTCTGACGTTCTGTGTAACTGCCATGTTGCTGATCCTGCTGCTGCCCGACTTCGGGCGTGGTTTCAAGGAAATTTGAGATTGATTTTCGGGTGAACTATCAGTGTCTCAAGTTTGAAATCACGATTGTTAATTGGGCAGTTCAGGCAGAGCTCAGCCTTGGGGAAAACATGATGAAGCTTTGGGGCAACAAAGGAGTACAAGGATTGGCATTGCTATAGTCGGATAACTTGGTAGCTGCTGCAGTTGCTGCAAAGAAGAACGCTGGCTTGCCTGTTGACATGGTTTATTTACTTCCATTAGCTTGGTGTAAAGTTGTTTGCAAAAACCTTGTGGTGACCTTGTTGAGTGATGTACACTGCCTGATCAAAAGTATCCGGACACCTATGCGAAACCGTCCTCTAAGTGTCCCTTGGATTTACTGCCCAGTAGTGGACATTAATACGGGGTGGGCCCACCCTTGGCATTTATTACCGCTCTAACTCTGCGGGGGAGACTGTCTACCAGGTGTTGGAACGTTACCGGGGGAATGGCCGACCATTCTTCCTGCAACGCTGTAGCAAGCGTAGTTGGTGATTTGAGTCGTTGGGGTCTGGTGCGCAATCGCCTTTCTAGTTCATCCCAGAGGTGTTCAGTAGGATTGAGATCGGGGCTCTGGGCTGGCCAGTCCATTTCCGGAACCTTATTGTCCACAAACCACTCACGAACAGACCCTGCTTTATGGTAGGGAGCATTGTCATGCTGAAACACATCTCCGAACTGGTCTTCTACCGTAGACAACACGCAGCTGGTCAGAATGTCCTTATATCCTTCTGCCTTTAACGTGCTTTGTAGTATTACGAGAGGACCAAGTAACTTCCAAGAAAAACACCCCCACACTGTCACCCCACCTCTGCCGAATTTCACTGTGGGCACTATACAGGCTGGCGTGTAGTGTTCACCTAGCAGTCGCCACACCCAATCCCTCCCATCGGACTGCCACATGGTATTGCGTGATTCATCAGTCCAAATCACGCGTCTCCAGTCATCCACAGCCCAGTGGCGGCACTCTTTACACCACTGAAAGCGGCGCTTAGCGTTCACAGGCGGAATGTGCGGTTTATGGGCAGGTGCCTGGGCTTTGAACCCCAGTCCTCGTAACTCCTGGCGCACAGTCATGGTGCTAGGTGCACAATTAGTGGCACTGCGGAATTCACGGGTGATGGTATCACACGATGACATGCGATTTTCCCGTACCACCTTTTTCAATGCTCAATGGTCCCTGTCGGTCAACACAGTGGTCTACCCAGCCGTAGTTTTGTTGTGGTTGTGTCTTCCCGTTTCCACTTCACAATCACATCCCTGATGGTCGACTTGGGCAACTTGAGAAGGGCGGAAATGGCCCTGACAGATTGCTTACTGATGTGGCAACCAATAACCATACCACGTTCGAAGTCACTGAGCTCCCTTGCTCCACCCATTCTGTCGGTATCGCGTAGCACTGAACAACATCGAGCCCTCTGCTTCCTTTTATAGCAGCAGTGGCGGTCGTAGTGATATCCAGGCTCGAGTTTACATTTACAGAGGGGTGTCCGGATACTTTTGATCAGGCAGTGTATGTTACAAATCATTTTGGCGCATGTTTTTGATCATACTGATGGCATATTTTAAAGCAAAGTTGAAAAGCAATGGTAATAAAGCAGCTCCTTGTGTCAGACCATTCTGAAAAGGAAATGTGTTACTCTTTACCTGCTTGGACCTTAGGCCGACATTTTTGTTAAGTTTTACCTAGCTTTTACTTTTACTTTAAATAGTGCTTTTGTAAGTAATTAAGTAAGAACTTTTGTATTAGATTGTGTCCAGCGACAACGTTAAATGCAACTGTCACTTCCCTGCTCCCAGCAGGAACTCTGTGACTCACCTCCAAGCACTAATAGGAATTTTATGGGCGCAGAATACGGAATATTAGCCTTGTTGTTGATTTCCATGTTTTATGTTTGTGAGGGGAATGTAGTGTGGTGTACACTTACCAGATAGCAGCACAATATATTCTTCCATGATGCAGGCTGGTTGCTTTGATTGTTTTCCATGATTGCCAAGTTTAACCCCACCTGACGTTTTCTTGTGGGTTTAGTTGCAGGACGTGGTTTGCAGCACAAAGCCAGCAGCACCACAAGAGCTCTGGCAAGAAACTGAACGGTCTTGTGCAGCGTCCTGGCTGCAGTGTTGATGGCCGCTGATCAGTCGATTGCTCTCCACTCTCAGCTGTTCCATGAAATTCACTGTGACGATTTTGACAGTTCTGTATTTGCTTATTCACCAGGTGCCAGTGCTGACGTATGTAATGGTTTAGTTTATTAAAATGTATTTATTTCATTTACTGAATGTGTGTATACTTTTTTACGCTCCATATTTAACTTTTCCCTATCGTGTGAATGCCAAAGATACTAATCTTGAGTTTGTTTTTATTCATAATATTTTTGTATGCTATAATTTTACATGTTTTTTCAATTATTTGGATTGTATATTTCTGCAATTAAAATATTTCTTATACTTGCACTAAAATAAACGTTTGGATTAAATATCCAGATTTTATGTCATACAAATACTTAGCCACGTGATAAAAGTACAAAATATCCTGTACCTATAAAAATTAATAATTGTCTATGATTCAACATTGTCAGTTCAGTTTGCAAGACTACTGTCTATCTTTACAAAATTAATTACGAAATTAAGTGTGGTTAAAATGGGGAATGCTCAGTTGCTGCTGAAACCGATTTCTATCAGCAAAACGAGTTCATGAGAAAATGGAGGAGTGCGGTCAGCGACGCTTCATGTTATCCCTTGTCAGCAAATTCCGGGACTGAAATTCAGATCTTGTAAGGTACTGGACCCACATTGAGCTGTGAAGTTCCACAGCATTCTAACTAACACTCCCGATGAAATTAAATAATAATGGAAGGATCCTTGGGATGAGGTTGCATGATACAACACACGTTTAAAAATGCACGAAATAAACACTTGCAAAAAATGAGGAAAGTGGTTGTCTCACCATGAACACTCCCCATTTTGACCGTAACAGCACAGAATCTTAGACTCAATGGACTGATAGCCTACAGATGCCCGTGTTCAGAAGCACATCTAGGGACAGTTAGTCCTGCTAGCTCTCATCCAGACCAGCTGGAATTGTGACAGAGCATAAACATTGCACTAAGCCAGTGAGGGAAGGGGCCGCGTCTGAATGTGTGCCGCCTTACAGCCTGCCAAGGCGATCGTATCAAATTTGAATCCGAAAATGCTGTGTCTAAGCAAAACTACCATTCAGAAGTAGAGATTGTGCTGCTGCATCCCTGAATGTCTGTCTGTCCTTATTTAACTTGTGGCGGGGGAAGGAAGGCTTTGATCTGACTAAAAGAAGGTGTTAACGAAACTTTGGTTTCCATAAAATGTGGTGAAATCTTTGACCACATGAGCCACTGTTATCTTTTCAGTTAGGACTTGGATCACAGGGCTATTTTTAACATAGATACAAACTCTAAGACAGAGTTTGAATTATTAAACTTGGTGGAGTAACTCAGGACATTTTGAGTCTTAGAAATACCTACAGAGAAGTTCATGTGTCAGGTCTTGTTGCCAGAACAGGGAATTCATTGTATATGCAATGTAGTAACATCTTGCCATGAAGACGCATGGGGAAGTGGACGTATTGCTACTTCGGCACTGGATCAAAATGAGCGGACAGCCTCATGCTCCTTGAACTTTGTGGCGAACAGGATTATATCTGCCTTACCGGGAACTGAACTCTGTCCGGCTCATAACCAGGCATTCTGACTGAGTTACCCTGAGCATAGGGAGGAGGAGGTCACTGAAAAAAACTGACGTCAGGACAAGATAACGGTACGATTGAACTGAACACATTCTTTTTAGCTTTGCAGCGGCACTAATGTGTATGTTTAAATTTAAAATATGAGATCAGGGACGTTTGTGTATGGCTTGTTGCTCTGATTTCTTCCTTATCGCTATTTTTCATTTGCCTGCAGACATATTCAACCCTACTTACTCAAACATTGTTACAGAACAAAAGCCTGTTATTACAGTTTTAATTGCAAAACCTCTTGCTCCTTGATTGTAATTTGGAAGTTCATTTATAAGATCTGACACAATGAAATAGTTTAGATCACAATTTTTGTTTTCTAATGGAAGGCAACTGTAATCTCCAGTACTGGATCATTCCCCTGTAACATACAGCGTGCGACCCCTTTTCAGACTACCTAAGAGGCGTGAATGCTGTGGATACTGACTTCCAGTTATGCAAACCTGCAGTGAAAACAAAGCCCTAATTTAGTATTTACGCATAACTTTTACGGGACTGAAGTCTTTAAACCGAGTAGTAACAGTGTACCAAATGCTGTAATAATAATTAACTCACTATTTTTCCCACACAGTGTGCAATTTGTAGTTTTCTCATGATTATCACAAAAAACTGTCCATTCCCATAAACAGCATAAGAAGTTTAATTTTGTAAAGTTCAAGTGTTATGTTCTCTGTGAGATCATCAACGATCAGACGAGAAAGTGGCATGCAGAAGGCTGTGCCCCATGATCATCAGGAGGACGATATGGCCAGAAGATGCACATACAACTGCAGAAAGAGGCAACCACGCAGGAACCCTTGGGGATATAATTAACGGCAGTTAACGGAGGTGAGTGTCCACTGTCGCGCATGAGGCACTTCAGCCCAGTACAGTGTGCCAGGTTGGTACCCTAGCTGTAGCGAGGACTTGTGCAAAGACAATATATACATGCATGTAATAAATCAGGAGGCCGCTTGTCAGTGGTGGAGCATTGTGATAAACCTTGCAAATGTGTATTACATATAAAAAGTATCGCAGCCACACCCTGACCATCCGTCCAGACAGTGAACTTCAGTTCCTGTATCTTTATATGAGAGTCTGAGCACGCGTAAGAGGAAGTCCACCCACAGCACTCACTTTGCGCGTCAGCCAGCAGACGCATCTATGCTACACATGGAGACACTTGAGCAATAAATAGTCCTACTTTGGTTTCGTTCAAATTGTGGTCTGCTACCAATAGCCATGCATAACCTGTAGGTCGTTTGACATAATATGACATGACAAGGAATTCGTTCTTGTGTTCAAAGGTGGACACTTCATAACTGCAGCAGTTTCTACATCAGCGTTGTTCGTTATTCTCTGCCTCCAGCACTTACGCCTTGCTTGTATTCGGGTGACATTCAGTTCAAATTTCAGGCGGTGCAATGACTATAGTGACAGTGATTTTCCCCATTCACAGCGCATCCTTTGCAGTTCACGGTCCACAATTGTCCTCTCCTCCCATTCTACATTAAATGAACTGCGGTTCACATGCAGTCGTTAATAATCAAGACTGAGTGACTAAAAATGTCTCTTAACTAATCTACTGGTGTGCTTGTTAGCTGTGGCGGTTGGACTTGGAGGACCTGGAGGATCTGTCCAAGCAGTAGTGCGTCAGGCGCTGCTCTGTCTGTCTTGACCGACTAGCACGTGCGCCTCAGGCGGTACTCGGTAGGTGTGAGCAGCCCCCTGCAAGAGAGACAAGGGCACATTTGAAATCACTGGGGGGTCATGATGTTCATAAACTAACTCCCTGGTAGCAGAACCCACAGGTTCAACACCGACAACACCAAAACCCGCCACTGGCCATGATCCTGAACCATCTCCATGCATCTGCTATCCATAGAGCCCACCTCCCTAAGATCCATCTTGATGTTATCCTCCCATCTCCTTCTTGGTCTGCCCAGTGGTCGTTTTCCAGAAGGATTCCCTACCAAAATCCTGTGTGCACCCCTTGCCTTTCCATTCCATGCCTGCTGCATGTCTAGCCCATCGGAGGCTCCGAGATTTCACTGTGTTAGGTGACCCGTACAATTCACGCAGCTCCTCGTTATGCAGTATTCTAAATTCTGCACTTATTTTATCCTTCCTAGGGCCAAATATCCTCCTGAGCTTGTTTTCAAACACTTGTAATCTACGTTCTTCCTTCGAGGTAAGAGACCATATTTCACAATCATACAAGACAACAGGCAAAATTATTGTTTTATATACAATCCTGATCTTTGGCGTTTTGGATAGCAAACGAAATCATAACAGTTTTACTGCATTGTTCTGCCATTGTTGCTGATGTTGAACCTTCATAAACACTAACGCATACTCGTTTCGACTTTATGACAATTTTTTTAAAATCAACATTTCCGTCATTCGGAAAGACGAAGAGAGATTGATTTTCACGTTGAGAGAGTTCAGGAGTTACTGGCTTTGGGACAACGAAGGCCCGAACCTACGGCCAAGCTTCTTGGCAGTTCCATTAAGATGCTGGAAGCGGACTCCCGAGGAATACTATGGTGAATACAAATTGTTCTATATTTGCCACACCTGAGGACAGTGTCGTAGGACACGCTGACTCCTTTCTCCATCATCCTGCGGTACAACTGCCAACATTCTCGTTCTTTAGGGGTCTGGAACTCTGGCTCCACGTCTTCTGGAATGGCGACGACCTCAGCAGGGTCTGCACTCGGCTTCGAAACGCAGCGGGGAGCTGTGGACCCCACGCCTGAGGACAAACACAGTTGGCTCAATGCGCATTTTCTTTGCAACCACAAAGCCTACTTTTGGCCCCAAAGTTTCACCTAGTTACTTCACAAATTTGCATTTTTCGTGAAACTCAGAAGTTTTTCACTGATGTCACAGGAATTTGCTAATGGACACTTACCCTCAACAAATATAATTAACTTCAAACCTCAAAATCTGTTTATTTAAAACAATTTTGTTTTGTCCTCCAATAATCAGTTTCCAGCAAACGATCTGTGTTGTTGATTAATATGTTATAAGCTTCTGATCAAGTACTTCGTGGGTTTTCTTGTAACTGAGTGGATTGCTGTTTCCTGCGTTATGACGTATAATTTTGCATGTGGTACCAGCATTTCGGTGAAATATATCGCCTCTGTCTTAGGTCTAAAAGTAACTACATATTTCTTGAATCAAATTATTCTCTTTACCAATTCGGTCTCAAAAATGCTCATCCTTTGTTTTTCTCTGAGCGTGATAAACCAAGTTTCACATTTGTAAACAATGTAAATTAGTTGCATTAAACTCTTAAGATGGAGACTGATGGTCTCGAAACGGTTAGGCTTCTCGACATTGATGCTTCAGATCTCCCGTAAAAGGTTCAGTTAATACTCACAACACGGCAACTTCATTCAACTTGACAATGTGTATCACCTGTGCTGTGCGTTTCAGATGGGGTGCGGGCTGGTCCGGCATGGGACTCCTCTGCAGCTGCAGATGGCGCCGTCTCAGCACAGTCGTGCTGGTCATCATTGCAGTTCTCTTCTGCATTCCCAGGGCACGGTTCCACCTGGCTTCTCCTATGGAGTTACATGGACAGCAGTTAGCATTATGACATGGCATGGTCTTACCTGACACTGTACAGTCCGGAAAGAACAAAACAGGAAAATTCCTTTCTTGTGCCCAGGATTTCCCTTCAGATGAATATGCAACTCACAAACAGCTGTATTCGTACTCTCCGCCGTGAGAACCTCAGATCCTACAGAGAGCACAGACAATCCTAAATAACATTAAAATCCTGGTATGCCTTGTATTTCTATTGCATTCATACAGAACTGGAATGACGCCGAACTTCGCTTTCAAAATGCGTAAAGCCACGGTTCCTCCACTGCACAGCCGCAGTAGGACCTTGCATTTTTTTGAAAAGCACAGGTTTGCGTGGTAAGAAGTTACTCGTAATGGGGAATGGAGCTGTTGCAGTGTCTGTATTTTACAAAGATAAACTATTTTGTGTGAACTGATATATTTTCTATAAAAACTGTAATCAAAAGAATTAAAAAATATGATACCAACGAGCTGGGGTAGCTCAGTCAGTATAGTGACTGACTGCGGGCTGGACTACAGAGTGACAGGATTATTCCTCTAACTTCTGCGCCCATACTGGCTC